TGTGTTGTGTACGTGTATATATGTGTGTGCATGAGCAAATATGCATATATGTCAGTACCTGCTAGTAATTATGCATCTCTGTATACGTGGGGACTACTTACGACTGGTGCGAAAGTTTGTGTGTGGGGGTATTTGAGCATCCAGATAGCTAGTCGCCGGTCAGAGTGTGCGAAACCCAAGCAGACCATGGACGCCATATCTAATATGAAATTTGTAACACAATCCATGTACGATTGTAGACAGGATTGTATCAGCACATACAGTTGACTACGAAAGACATGGCACAGACTTTGCACATCAGCACATACTATGCCATTTATTGGCCTTCATTGAAGTAATAGATCCGATTTAACTATACTCGGAAACCGAAATTATCTAGCTTCGCCAAATTATCTAGCTTCACTCCTAAACCAATATCCAATTGAACATTACATTAATCCAATCATGATAAACACCCGTCGTAAGCACGACAGAGAGCTGCCAACTAGCTAATATATCACAATCGACTTCGCATCATATACGACTAACCACTCACGGAACTGAGTCACGCATCTTATATGGCCATAGACATCAAACACAAATACAACTCATACCTTCCCATTAGTCCGTACCACAAACGGGTACGACAGATGATAAGACTCTTTCAGTATGACACCCTGGTACGTCCACGTCTTCAAGTTGTGGCTGGTGGCCATGCCGAGGGAGCCCTGTGTGCGGACGCGTACAGTGTTTGCTGGCTTAGTACTCGTTGAGTTCGCAGGCATATGCTTTCGCTTATATATGCGCTCACATACGGGACTGTCATCGCTTGCATTTGTGCGTGGCGTGCACACAACCCACTGCAAAGGCTCAGAGAGCAGAGCAATGGTGGTTTTCTATGCAATATATGATTCTGAGGTAGCTGGGACACGCTCTGAAGCCTTGTGGAGCATCCTTTTCCTTAGTATTCTCAGGAATTCTCGCTATTCTCACATATCTATCTCTGAAATGGCCTGGCCGTTGGTCTGTTCGTCGTGGTCACAGACACGGACCCAATACCCAATAGGGTTTCAGTGCATAGCAATAGAAACTGTACTATCTGACTTTGTATATATATATATATATATGTATGTATGTATGTATGTATGTATGTATGTATGTATGTATGTATGTATATATATATATATATGTGTGTGTGTGTGTGTGTGTAGTGTGTGTGTGTGTGTGTGTGTTGTGTGTAGTGTGTGTGTGTGTGTGTGTCGT